CATGCCCCGGGACGACGGAGGCAGTGTGGCTGCCCCATGAACTGTCTGGGTCCCTGCCCAGCCGGCCAGGAAGAGCCAGGATACAGGAAACCCGACCTCACCTGGAGCTCCCAGAAGATGCTGCGCGTGTGGCGGTGGTAGTAGTGTCTCAAGGGAATGTACTCGAGGCCCTCCCGGTTTGTCTTCAGATAGTTCTCCACGTGCTTAAAGAACCAGGGCTTGTAGTAACTGCCAATGCTATTCAGCTGAAATGACAGAGGACACTGGGATCAGCCCGCAGACGAGCGCGGCGCCATCGGGTGTAACGATACCCGCCTTCTGTTCAGCCCTCCTGGCCTTTTCAAGCCCTTTCATGTCTATTACTGCCTGGGAGACTCTTGAAAGCCAGGGAGGTGAGGCACAGCGGGTATTCTTTAACAGCCAGAGCAGGAGTTCAAAAGAGGTTAAGTGCTGTGTCCAGGGCCACACAGCTAGTTCCTCGAAGTCTAGAGAGCTTGGCGACCCCATCCTAGCCTGGTGCTCCCTCCCAGTGAGAGGACAGAAGTGCCGATGTTTACCACGGTCAGCCTGCTCCTCCTCTGCTGAAACCCAGGGCCCAGAGTGCTAATTGGATAGTGCTTTCTCTGCGGTCCTTGGCTCAAGCTCCATAACCCTCTGGTAACAGCACTCCCCCAGGCAGACACCACCACCCGGGGAAGCTCACAGAAATAAACCTACACGCCTTCCTGGCACCAGATCCTGTGGGCTCCCACGCCTAAACTGTAGGCTGGGTTGGCGCCTTCTGCCATCCTAAATAGCTCAGGACTCAATCTGGAGAAGCATTGGAATGATTTAGTGTCTCTGGGTCTCGGCGCCCTCATGCATGAAATGAATTCTGGGCAGATACTCCTCAGGAGATGCAGGGAACAATCTGGAAAGAGCAAAGGCTCCGGGAGTGGGCAGTGGGGGCCAGACCCTGGCGAGTCGCTGTCCAGCTGTGTGACCTTGGTCAGATCACCCTGACAATACAGATAAGATGCTTTGTGGGAGTCTTCTGTGCCTATTAGAAAGTATACAGACACAGACACACACACACGCCCAATGATGGTGAATGCCTCTTCCTGTTCTAAACACCCTGTATTCTGGACTCTAAGCCCTCAGCCTTCCTGGGACAACCTGCCAGGCCAGCTTCTTCTTCCCTGGCTGAGATGCTCAGTCCCCAGTTAGACGAGCTTCTGCTGGGGGTCGAAGCAGCACCTCAGTTCTACGGAGAAGGAGAGGTCACACCCGGGAGTCGGCACCGAGTAAGGACAAGCAGAGAGTCAAACAGGCCACATGGACCTTCAGGAAGGGGATGGCAGGAGCGGAGTGAGAGAGTGGGCTAGGCCAGGTCCTCGGAAGGAGAATCACAGCAGCCTGCGCTGAGAGCCCGCATGCCAGGCGGGCACTGGTGGCACTCCACGTGCTCCTGTCATCCCCTCCACCGCCAGCACGTTGGCCTTGTGCCAGTCCCACCAGTGAGGACACTGGGAATGAGCACGGCTCTTCAGCCTCCCAAGCCCAGGGAGCTAGCAGCAGGCACAGGGAGGACTCAGACCCACGCCATGTTGCACACCAAGGCCAGACTGGGAGGCAGACACCTCGGCTGGAGGGACGGAACACCGGCGTTCTAAAAAACCAAACTATTCATGTTTTTCCTGATTCCAAAAGCAGCAGGTGCGCCCTACGAAAACTAAGCACTGAAGGAAGGTGTAACTTGAAGCCCTGTAGTCTCACCTTCGTGGGTGGCTTCTAGCATTGCTATGTGTTCATTAGGCTCTACTTACTGCACACAGTCATTACAAAAATGGGACCATCCTGTCCACACCCTTTACCAGTTTGTTTTTCCTTCTCATAACAATGCTCTCGGCTGATTCTGGGCAGGCTACTTAGTAGCCTCTCTGATCTTCATTTTCTGTCCAGGCAAAATGGAGCCGTTACTTGCTCTGAAGACAGAGATGACAGAGCCAGCACCAAGCAGAGCATGAAGCCCTTGTGGGGACACAGGGTTGGTCCCTGGTCTTTCCCATGGCCTGCTGCTCACATCCAGCCCTTACCAAGCCTCTCCATCCTGGAGTGGGCAACCCCTTGCCCTCGATCTCTGGCAGCATGGGCAGCTTCACTGGGTGTCACTCTCGTACGAGCCACTGTGCAGAAGAACAGTGGGGACCACGATGGGCCAGGAAACAGGCTAGAGAGCTTGGTCTTCCAATCAGTTTCAGTGGGCACAGTATGGGGCAGGGTGAAAGACACCACATGTGGGCCTCTGCCCACCTAGTGTGAAGGGAGTGAAAGCCCACAGGCACCTGAGCGGCATGATCTGGCTCAGGTGAGGTCTGGCCACACACCTGGCTGTGGAACGGCATAAGGAGATTAAGACTTGGGAGTACCTGGAAACTGGTGCTCCTGGGGCTTCCTGACTCAGGAACCACATTTGCCAGAAAACCCCAGGATGTGACGAAGAACCCGGATCATCCACCTCTCCCAGAACACATGGCCGCTGCACGAGCTCCCGTCCCAGCCCCGGACTCTGGCAGCAGCCACTTCTTACCTCTGGGCCTCCCCTGTAAAGTGAAGGCGGGCTGCCTCCTTACAGGGTCAGTGAGCCTTACACGGACAGTGCCTGCTGAGGGTCCAACCAGTGCCTGGCACCCAGGGATACATTCCCCAGCAGCCAAACAAGAGGATGTGTGGGACAAATGCTCTGAAAATGCCTAATGGCAGAGATCACTCTCCTGCCCCAGCCTGGTTCCCACTGGGCATCAGAATCTTGCTCAGAGGGACACTTGGCAAACGCCTAGGCCTGGGGGTACCTCTGCCACTGAGGCGGGTAGAGTCTCTGTGAGGCCCTCGGGCCTTGTTCTCCTCTTTGGGAAACAAAGAAATCGAGTCAGCTATTCGAACATTCGAAATGCTATACAGACTCCTTTGCCCACTGTAACCTTAGATGGCACCTAACACATTCAACAGGCCATAGCAAAGCCCTGTGGGGGGAGTGGGGGTGATTCCCTTCGGCCCCTCGCTCAGCACTGCTGTTGCCAGCAGCCTCTGAGGAACGCCTTAGAGAAGTTAGAAACCTCGGGTCCAGGGGGCCTCACTGGGTGACCAGGTGCTAGGTTGGGGCCAGGGCCCAGGGAGGGCCAGAGCGCTGTGGCTCCAGGTCTGGCATTGCCATTTCAGGATCCCCATCTTCTAGGGCTCACTATGTCTCATGAGGAATCAATGTTTATGGAGGAACCAAAGCTGAACCAGAAGTCACAGACCAATGTTTAAATACGCCCTGAGCTAGCTGTGCTCTCAGAGAAGGCTTTGTCCCTCTCTGGGCCTCTTTTCCTTATTTGGAGAGTGGACTGTATCAGGTTGTACCAGATAATTTTCAAGTTTAGATATTTTAAATATCTAGATATAGAATAAGGGGTTTAAGAAGTGCCTATCCTTCGATCTAATTTTACTTCAAGATATTATTATTCAAAATGCAGGCAAAAATGTTCACTGTGCCACTAATTAAAATAATTAAAAAACTAGAAAGGGGGCTGGCAGGTGGTTAAGGCGCTGGGCTCCCACACGGTTGATTGTGGTTCAAGTCCTGGATCTGGCAGCTTGCTTTCGCACTTTCCTTTTCCCTCTCTTTCCTTGTGTGTCTCTCTAGTCAAAACAAACAAACAAACAAACAACAGTGACAAATAAAGTTAAATAAATAAATAATAGTTAACAAAACAAAACCAGAAGCAGCTACTTCAGCTTCCAGCGTGGGGACGCAGTTTGGTAAATGACAAGCATTTGCTCACAGGTAGATCTGTAGGCATTACCTATGATGATGCTGGAGTCAGTGTAACAGGGAATACGGGTGGCACTAAACAAGAAAGACAAACGCAAACGGTGATCACAGCTGAAGACAGACAAGCCAGGGCGTATTGACACACTGGTCTGTGACTTCTGGTTCAGCCTTGGTTCCTCCAGGTCCACAAACATTGATTGCTCATGGGACATAGTGAGCCCTAGAAGATGGGGATCCTGAATGGCAATGCTGGACCTGCAGCCACAGCGCTCTGGCCCTCCCGGGGCCCTGGCCCTAGTCATCCAGCGAGGCCCCCTGGACCCGAGGTTTCTACCTTCTCCAAGGCGTTCCTCAGAGGCTGCTGGCAACAGCAGTGCTGAGTGAGGGGCTGAAGGGAATCATCCCCACTGCCTCTACAGGGCTTTGCTATGGCCGTTAGGATGTGTTCGATGCCACCTAAGCTGAAAAACTCTGCAAAGACATGTTGGACCTCCCCAGCGATCTAAGGATGGCAATATAAAACGAGACACTATTTTTAACCGTATCAGATTGGCAAAAATTGAAGAGTGATACTATCCGGTATTGGCAAGAATGGAGGGGAAAAGGCATTCTCACACACTGAGGCTAGAAGTCGACATACACACAACTTTTCTAGAAGCTATTCGGTCTTATCTATCAATATTTAATGTGCTCAAAGTCTTGGGTCAGGAATTCCAATTTTATGACTCATTCCTACACAGATCTTTGTACAAAAGGCAAGAAGAGATGTAAGAGAATCTTAAATCTTCGATGCAATCTGATTTCTAAGAGCAAAAGAATTTAAATAATGTGAGTGGTAAGTCAGGCTAATTTTTTTTTTTTGGAGAGATTTTCGCTATAGGGCGGGTACGCTCGCCAGCCAGCCAGAGAGAGACATTAGAGACAGAAAGCGAGAAATCACCCCCCAGGGGGGATGGTCACGCCGCAATCCCTTCTCCTCCATTCTCCTCTCGGGATTTTGGGCATGCACGCACACGCGCCCGGCATGAGTTTTAAGCCACCGGGTCCGGGACGCGAACCGTGGTCGACTACGTGGGAGTCCAGGGACATAGCCATTACGCTAACTGCTGGTTCCCAGGTCAGGCTAATTATTTACACGGAACTATGACATTACAGACTAAAATGAGGGCAGCTACACAAACACACAGAAACAGGTCTGGATAGACATACACCCTGCTGTAACAAGTGGTTGCCTTGGGGTTGAAGAAATGCACTATAACTTTTCTCTTTTAAAAAATCGATTTCAGCACCGTTAGACTACTTCCGTCATTTAAAAACGTTAACATCCATGCACAGAAAAAGAGAAGAAATAAATATACCAGACCTTCACAACAGCTAGCTCTGGGGCACATTTATAGAGAAGTCTTTCTTTCCTTTTACTTGTTTATACCTTTTAAGTCTCTTATAATAAGCATAAATCCTTTCTAAATGGAAGAAAAACTGCTCTTAATCACATGGGGTAACTTGCAGGAGTGTCAGTCTGGATTCTGAGGCATGGACTCAATGATTTGAATCTAAGTTTTGTCGGCCTGTGGAAATTTACCTCACCCTGGAGTCTCGGTTTCCACGTCTACAAAACCTGGGTTGCTATGAGGACCAAAGTTACACCCATCGAGATGAGCACATCTCTGATGGGCGGTGGGCAGAGAAACAATCTTTCATCACTGTCAGACGTCTCTGAAGGAAACTCCCGATACCCGTATCCCAGGTGGGCTGGTCCAAGGAGCAGCAGTGACAGTGGCCGCCAGGGACAGGGTGAGGAAGGGGCTCGGTCTCAGCCCACCTGGGCTTTCCCCTTCCCTGGTCTTGGCCTGCAACAGCTGATGCCCTGGCCTACCTTGCTGGGCTCCACTTCATCCGTCATGACCCCCGTCATGATGACGGCTTCATCCAGGGAATAGAGCAGCCCTTCCACGAAGTGGTTTTCTGGTCGCTGGGACTCGCGGGTGAACTTATCACAGATGGCCTCCATGCCCCGCACTGGCTCAAACCGCAGCTTGACATACTTCTTGGCAGGGATGATGCGGATTTCAGCAGCCACCAGGAAGCCCAGTGTCCCACAGGACCAGGGCACAGCGTAGAAGAGGTCTGAGTTTTCGGACTGGGAGACAGAATTGGCACATGCTGAGAGCCTGAGCCCTGACCCACGGTGTGGCCTGTAGTCACTGGGGGAGCAAAGGCCCTATGACCTAGCTGAACTCCTGCCTGGCGCTATCTGATGTAAACCCGAACAACCAAGCTTACAAACTGTATTTCTGCCCAAATGACATTTAACCTAACATTGCCCTCTGTGTCAGAGATGCTGGCCCTGAACCACAGCTACCTGGGAAAGAAGACAATGACTAGCCCTGCCCAAAGACCCAAAATAGGGGGACCAGGGAGCAGGATTTTCATTTCAGGTTAAAGAGTTAAACCATTGGAGGAACCAGTAGATGGCATAATGGTTACGTTGCTGGACTCCCATGTAGTCGACCACGGTTTGAGTTCAGACTGGGCAGCTGAAATTCATGCCAGGCATATATGTGCGTGCCCAAGATCTCAAGAGGAGAATGGAGGAGAAGGGACTGTAGTGCAACCATCCCCTCAGGGGGTGAATTTTTGCTTTCTGTCTCTCTGTCTCTCTCTGTCTTTCTGGCAAGCACACACACCCTATAGCAAAAACTTCTCTTAAAAAAAATAAAAAGAGTTAAACCATCAGGGTAGCTAGACATTAAAAGGTCTCCCTTTTGAGTCATTACTAATATTTACAACCCCCCCCCTCGTTAGATTGTAGGAGCCCCTTCCCCTCCCAGCTCAAACACTCACAAGCCCAGGGGATTTTAACAGTCCTACGACAAGGAAAAGTGAGTCTTCAAGGTGCCGTGAGTCACCCAAGGCTTCCTGGAATGCCAACTGCAGCAATGCCAGGCCAGGCCAGATGACCAGCTCCCCTCCAGTGTCCTTCCTACAGCCCTCCTTGGCCCCACGAATCCAAGTTCAGCCTCTTTTTCTCATCTGGACCTCCGTCTAGGGAGTCAGACAACTGACTATTCCTTTGATCATTCTAATTCAGATTCTTGAATTCTAATAAGGCTCTTTTGAACAACCCTAGCCTGGACTTGCATTAAGCAAGAGGGCAGCCCTGTGCAGTCTTGTGAAACCCACATGTCCTTGGTGGTGGGATGCAGCAGGGGGTGAGGGGAAGGTCAGGGCAGGGAAGCTCTGCAGCAGCTGATAGAAACCTCTAGAACAGCAGAACTGGGGCAACTGATCCCCAAGCTGGGCTCCCAGCTAAACATGCTGTCCCGGTCATGGTAGTAATAGATACCCATGGCATGCCCGACCCCATGCTAAGAGCTTCATACAGAGCACCCACGTACTCCTCCTGACTGCAAACGTCCGACGAGGAGAAGGGGTAATTCACAAGTGTGTGTCCTTTCTTGGCTGCTAATAAACAGGTTAGAAGGCAGGTCCAGGCAAGGGTTTAGAGAAACGTGCTGAATTGATGTGACTCCTCAGAGGGGTATCTCTCCTCCAAGACCAGGGCTCCCAAGCTGGGAGTCTTCCTCTGGCTGTTCGTGAGGCCAACAACTCTGGTGGCTCCCTGAAATATCCCCTTAAAAGGACTGAACTGTCTCTCCATATGCTAGTACAGGCCTCGGCGTGTTCGAAGTTTCAATCCTGTCTCACCCCTCACATAAAATGCCTCACATGTCTGTGTCCCACGGTGGGCGGCAGAACTGCCTTATTTTTCCTGAGCAGCTCCTCTAATCACTTTTAGCCGTATCTCATAACCTCTGACACAGAGCTCTGGTGCTGAGGCCTGACTTCCTCTAGAGAGGCAGGAAGGTGTAACGCATAGCTGGGGGCAAGGATCCAGGCACCTCACTGTCTAGGGCTGAGACCCAGCCATGTGAGCTATTCTAGCTGCATGACCGTGCTTTAGTTTCCTGTCTGTAAAATGGGGGCAGTAACAGTAGCTCATATTCATAAGATTGTTGAAGGACTAAATATCTTAAAATTTACATATAAAGCATTTAGGACAGTAATACGCACATGTAAAGGGGCTATAGAGACTTGTGTTATTATTAGGGAAATTGATCCAGACTTCACAGGTGTATCTGAGATGAAGCACCCTAGGAGAGCCACCTCCCTGACCCCAGGACCCACAAAGCCCAGAGCAAGCCGGTACAGACGTCTCCCATCTCTGAACTCACCGGCGTGCATCGCACAAAGCTGCCATCGGCCAGGACCAGTTCGTAGGCGATGCAGATGTGTTGGAACAGCCCATACTTGTGGGATGACGACTCAATGCCTGTGCCCATGATCAAGCCCCCTACGGGGACATACGTGTTAGTCAGGGACAGCCATAATGTCTGGGGTGGCTTAGAGCTCAGATCTTCTAGCATGAAGGAGGCAGGAGAAAGATGGAGGGGCTTAGATGGGGCCACAAATGCTTCCTTAGAGACAGGGAATGGATGGGCAGACCCTGTCAAGGGTGCTCGCACCCTTGTCTCTGGCCAGTCTCAACCTAGAAACTTGTGTGCATTCATCTAAATAAGGTCTTTAACAGAAGGAGGGGTGATGGGGTGGCAGGAAGCTATGTCCTAGGGGAACAGCTAAAGGAACTAAAGGTAGCTCCCCTGGAGAAGGCTTTGGGGCTTGTGGATCTTATGGGGGAAGGGAGACTAGACTTATTCTGTGCTCCACAGGATACAGAGGAGCACGGGATACATGTCGCAGGGATGCAGATTTGAGGCACACATGACAAACTGACCACTGACCACTGAGCTGCACAGCAGCAGTGGACGCCCCATCACTGGAGCTGAATGGAGAGCCAGGGGGCGACTTCAGTCACAGATGGACTAGTGACTCCTGCACTGGAAGGCAGGTGGCTGGGATCCCTCAGCTCAAACCCCAGACTCTCTGCCTCCTCTTGCCCATTCACACAGAGTCCTTACCCACGGTGAGGTCATCAAGCTCGGGCAACACAGGTAGAGTCCAGCCAATGGAGGTCAGCAGAGCAGTCACCTGACCCATGGTCACCAAGGGTTCTACCCGAACAATCTGTTGACATAAGAAAAGAGACACGGGGTTGCAAGGAGGCTGCCTGGCCACACAGGAGTTTCTCCACAAAGAGGTGTCATTGCAAACCTTCCACATACTCAAGGCAGGGATTCCTATGTCACCTTTACAGGCTCTTTCTAGAACATTATGTTGCCTTTAATTATGGTGAGTGTGATTTCTGGCTCTAGGTAGCTAGTGTTTAATTCTCTCCTTTCAAATATCTCTATATATAATGCTTATTTTTGTCTAGATTGTAGGAGAAATACTCATACATTTGGAAGAGATATCAAAAATGAAAAGAAAACAAAAACCATCTATCCTAGTTTCTTAGCTACCCATGTTAATAATGAAGAATCTGTTTATTCCCACATGTTTCTATTAGGTCCTTGGAAAAGTCATGGAGTATCTTTCTATGCAAAAATGTGTCATGACTTCAGTAATTACCCACTATGTTGCTATTTTGCACAGGCTTTTCTGTTTTGTTTTTAGGTTTTTGCCATATGGCGCTTATGCTCACAGGAAAGAGACAGAGAGAGGAAAAGTGAGAAATCACCACCTGGGAGGGGTGGTCATGCAGCAATTCCTTCTTTTCCATTCTCCTCTTGGGATTTTGAGCATGTATGCATATGCACGTGGCAGGATTTTCAAGCTGCCAGGTCCAGAACTTGAACTGTGGTCAGCCATGTAGGAATCAGCGTATTAACCACCACACCGCCTGCTGCCCTCACCCTCTTTGCTTTTAATTTGCTATAGGCATGTGCACTTGCTGGAGACAGACAGAGACAGAGAGAAAGTGAACAATCACTCCCCAAGCATGGCTTCAATTCCTTCTCCTTCATTATCTTCTTGAGATTTGTGGGTATCCATACACATATAACAGCATGTTTTTCAAGCCACTGGGTCTGAGACCCAAACCAGGTGGTCAGCCATGTGGGATTCAGCCACCTTAACCACCTAGCCAATTAACTGGCCCTGTTTTGTATATTTTAATAACACATACTCTTCTCTCTAGTCTTTTATTTTTTCCTTCTTTTTTTGGAGAGGTTTTTGCTATAGGGCGCGTGTGCTCGCCAGAAAGACAGAGAGAGACAGAGAAACAGAAAGCAAGAAATCACCCCCTAGGGGGGTTGACCACACCACAATCCCTTCTCCTCCAGTCTTCTCTCGTGATCTTGGGCACGCACGCACGCACATTCGCCCGGCATGAGTTTAAACCACCGGGTCCAGGACGCGAAACATAGTCGACTATATGGGAGTCCAGTGACATAGCCATTAACTGCTAGTTTCCTGACTAGTCTTTTAAAAATTTAACACAATACTATGACCATCATCCCTTATCATTCAAATATTCTTGGAAAACATGAATTTTAATCACACATTAATAGGCCACTATGTAGACTTCTGCTTCCAGCTGAGAAGGAACACTAGATACCAGACTGACTACGCTGCCAGCAAGTGGGGAGGGAGGAGAATCACAGACGAAGTGTATGAAACAAGATAGCAGACATAGACAATGACAGTTAATGATCTCGAGAGGGACAGGAGCAAACAAGGAGAGCTCTAGAATGCCCTGCCAGCTGCCTGGAGCTAGACAGTGCAGGGAGGAGAATCAAGTGCACTCCGAGTTGAGGAGATGGACGTGAGAGCCCCAGAAGACGAAGGTGAACAGAGTGTGCAGGACAGAGTACTGGAAAGGAGAGAGCTACAGAGAGAGAAAACTCTGAACCGCAGATGGTGTCCCCTGAGCATTCAGCTGAGTACCACGTGGTGTATACACATGGGGATATTTCAAGGCTAAGGCAGGGAAAGAATCACCAGAAAATATACAGACAATCAGTGCCAGGGATCGCACAGAGCAAGAAATAGTGTCTGTGCCCACAAACCAGCCTGGAGAACCTCCTGATTGGTAGGGCACTGGGTAGAGTTCTCAGAATGGTCTTGTCTCAGCACTGGGAATAGCTGACACTACATTAACCACAACTCTGGTTCCACCTCAAAATATCAAGACCCAATGGGATCAAACTGTTTCAAAGTAACTTAGTTGCCTTCAAGAACAAAGCTCAAGATTTACAGGAGTACAGAAATACCCAGCACTCCTCTAAGGTAAAATGTCAGAATGTCAAAGTTTATCAGGCATCCAAACAGGCAGGAAAATATGATCCATATTGATAAGAAAAATCATGGGGCCAGCAGGTTGCAGCTTGGGAGACTGCAGGAGGACTGAGTGTGTGGCCAGTGTAGACCACATAGTAAGACCTTGTCTGAAAAAGTTAGGTGGTCAAGAATGTGTGCCTATGGTCCCAGATGCTAAAGAGGCTAAGGCAGGAGGACTACAAAACAAGGAGACCCCATTTAAAACAAACAAAACCACCAGACATATACACGACAATATAATGTGGGGTTTATAACGTACGTAAAAGTATGACAACAGCGGCACAAAGGTTGGGAGGATATGAAAGTATATTATTATCAGATTCTTATGCTGTATGTGAAATGAGATAATATTACTTGAAGCTAGACTGTGGTAAATAAAATGTATACCACACACCCTGAAACTACTACAAAAATAACAAAACAAAGAGTTACTGTCAATAAGCCAACCAAACAGCAAAAATCATAAAAGCATCTACAATCATAAAAATGATTGGTAATCCAAAAGAAAACATAAAAAGAAATAAAATGGGAACAATAAACAAATAACAGAAAATAAAGTAATTTATTGGATCTACACATTTTGGCACAGAAAAACAGAAAAAATACATTATGATTTTTCAACGACCCAATAATCAAATTGTATCAATAATAACATTAAATGTAAATGGGTTTGCCACCTCAATTAGAAGGCAGAGACTATCATATTGGATAAAAAAGCAAGAACCAATTCCCATTATCAAGAATGGAAGACAAGACATAGCTATAGATTCTACAGATGTTAAAGAACAGTAAGAGACTATTATAAAGAACTTTATGTCAATAAATTACACAACTTAGTGAAATAGACAAATCCTTTTGAGACAGAAACTACCAAAGCTCACACAGGAAGAAACAAATAAACTGAAGAGCCCTGTATCTATTAAAGAAATTGAATTTGTAGTTCGAAAATTTGCTCAAGAAAAAAACTCTAGGCCCAGATAGCCTCTCTTTGATTTCTATAAAACTTCTAGAAGAGGGCCAGCCAATGGCAGGGTGGATAAGGCAGCTAGAGCCTACATAGCTGACCTGCAATTCAAGCTCCAGACTGGCTAGCTTGAAAAACATGCTGGCCACGTGTGCATGTGTGCGCCAGATTGCAAAGGAGAATGGAGGACAAAGGATCATAGTGTGGGTACCTCCCTTGGAGAGATGCTTGCTCTTTTTCCCTCTAGTGAGCACATGTGGCCTGCCTATAGCAAGAACCTTTGTTTTGGATTGGATTAGGCAAAGATTTCTTACACAAGACATTAAGAGCACAATCTATAAAGGACGAAATTAATAAATTAGACTTTGTCAAAATTTAAAACTTCTGGTTCTTTGGGACCAGCAGTTAGTGTAATGGCTATGTTGCTAAACTCCCATGTAGTCAACCGCAGTTCGAGTCCTGGACCTGGTGGCTTAAACTCACACCAGGCGTGTGGGCATGCGTGCCCAAGATCCCGAGAGGAGAATGAAGAGGGATTGCGGCGTGGCCATTCCCCCCCGGGGGGGGGGGTGATTTCTCGCTTTCTGTCTCTTTCTGCCTTTCTGGCGAGTGCACATGCTCTGTAGCAAAAACCTTTTAAAAAACAAACAAACAAACAAACAAAACTTCTGGTTTTTGAAAGACAAGTCACAGAGTAGGAGAAACATTTGCAAATCATATACCTGATGAAGGACTTGTTTCCAATTACTCATTTTAAACTGGCAAAAAATTTAAGTAGGCCTCAGCAAAAAAAAAAAAAAAAAAAAGAAACCCAAAAACCGAAACAAAAAAACAAAAAACAACACTAAAAAACAATAAAACAAAAACCAGAAAACACGTAAATGAAAAGGTGCCCAGCATCATTAGCCATTAGATAAATGCATATTAGAACTTACAGTCCTATGAAGATGGCTGAAATTAAGAAGGCCTAACCATGCCAAGTTTACAATGACGCAGAGCAACTGAAACTCTCATTCGCTGGTGGTGGGAATGTAAAATACTGCAACCACTTTGGAAAACAATTCGGCAATTTCGTAAAAAGTTAAATATATACCTACCATCTGATTCAGTCATTTCACTCCTAGGTATTTGTGCAAGAGAAAAAAAAAGCTTATGTACTTGCAGTAGCCCAAGTTATCTATCAGCTGGTGAATGGATAAACTAACTGCAACGCATCTACATAATGGAATACTACTCAGCAGTAAAACAGAATGTACTATCGATACTTGCTTCAGCATGGACGAATCACAAAATAATTATGCCGAGTAAAAGAAACTAGACCATGTGCCAGCCAGGAGGCGTGGCAGTTAAGAGAGCTGGATCCCACATGGCCGACTGTGCCGTTAGTGTCCTAGATCTGATGGCTTATAAAATAGGCCAGGTGTGTGTATGTGCGTACCCAAACTCCCAAGGGGAGAATGGACTGAATGGATTGCAGTGCGGTCATCACAAATGAGGTGTGCTTTCTCATCCCTCCACCCCATCTCTCTCTGGCAAGTACATATATCCTATGGCAAAGAAAAAAAAAGAAGTCAGATCAAAAGTTTTTTTTTTTTTTTTTAAAAAGAGCATGATACTATATGATTTCATTTATATAGAACTCTAAATACAGACTACTATATAGTGATGGGATGCAGATTGTCGTTTGCCTGAGAATATGGCAGAAGAGGCAGTGGAAGTAGAATTACTGGATGGGCCAAATAAACCCATTTCCAAAGCTATTAAACAAGCGGGTGTACAGGAAGCTTTTAACAAGACCCGCACCTCTAAGCCACCCTCATAATAAGCCCATTTTTCACCAGCACACTTCCTTCCTTGGAAGGGGTAAATAGCTTCCCTTTGTCTCTCATTTTTGCCCAGGATTTCCCTACCCTTGCTTCCTATGTCATTGCAAATAATGAGATGATCCCTCTGAGTTCTCAGTTTGCCTGCCTATGAGATAGCACTATGACCAGTCTTTTCCCCTGATGGCTACGAAGTTTTGGAGGACAGCAATGGTGGACAGAGTCTTCCATGATGATCATGGGCCTTGGTCCTGCTTACTCTGGGATGCCCTTGACTAAAAATCATCGCCTTTTGAATCACTGGTATCAGAGGTGACCTCCCACCTGCTTCCAGGGTCAATACACAGTGCCACTCTCACCTGCTTCTTGGTGTCCACCTCCAGAATGTCCATCAGGTTGATCATGATGTTTTTGTGTGTCTTCTTGTATTTCCCAACCCGCAGGGACACGGTGAGCCAGCCGGGGCGCCCTGTGCACATGAAGGTCTTGCTGCCTTGCTCCTTCCATTCCCGCACCTGCAACCATGAGACAGAGGCTGAGCTGACCTTCCAGGCCTGAATCCATGCAGTCCTGGCTATAAGGATCCCCAGAGCAGCTCACAGCCCTGTTCTCAAGGAGAAGCTGCAAAAGATGCCTTTTCCAGGAACTGGGAGGCCCAGGAGGATAAAAAGGCCCACTGGCCTAGCCTCCAGCATCTCTCTAGCTAGCAAGGCCAACTGAAAAGTCAACATGTAGCTACACCAACAAGGCAGAATGAGAAAGAGTTAGAATACAGGATCAACGTGCTCTGAAAACTGTAGACACTGGGATCTGTAATGGCAATAACAGCAATTATAAAAATTATTTCTGGGCTAGCAGGTAGTCTGGAGGTTAAGGCACTGGATCCCTCATGAGTGGCAGTGTGGTTCAAGTCCTAGACTCAATGGCTTGAAAATCATGCCAGGCCACATGCATGCCCAAGATCCCAAGAGGAGAACAGATTGCAGTATGGCCATCTCTCCCCAAGGGGTGATTTCTCATTTTCCCTCTCTCTTCCTGTTTCTCTCTGGCTAGCACAAGGACTCTAGAGAAAAACAAAAAACAAAAAAAACAAGATTTCTACTTACCGGGTCCCTCCACCATGACAGGCACCTATTGTGAACTATCTCATTTAATTCTCATAGCAATCCCAAGAGATTAGGGTAAACCCCCTTTTTCAAAAGAGGAAATTGAGAAGCAAAATAACTTGCCCAAAGTCACCCAAGGAGTGAATGAGAGAGACCAGATTTATAGCCAGGCCGGCATGAATTCAGGCCTGGAAGGACAGATGGGCTAGATGGTTTGAGGCTTACTGAGTGCCAAGCCCTATTCTAGGCTTTTGTACATGTTAACACTCTATGACTCCAAGGTGGGGAGAAGGCGCAGGGAAGGACCACCAAGTCAAGGGAGGGAGGTTTCCGCAAATCCTGCACTGTATGTGACCAGAGCACTTGGAGGATAGCGAGCCTGTCAGGAACAGAGGAGGAAGTGTTCCTTTCCTCCTAAGAGGGATAGGGCAGAGGAGATGGGTAACTTGCTTTGAGCTGAGAATATTTCCTCTTCATCTGCTTCTAAAAGCCATCTTCCTTTGGTCCAGGTGAGGCTGATTCTACTTGTTCTGTCTCAGGAGGGAGGCATGTGAATGGGGTCTGAGTCTATCCTTCTGACCACTCCGACAGTTCAGGGATGGGCCTACGACCCAAGCCATTCCAGGAGAGGGACGCTTTCTTCACTGGGGCCGCTAAGCTGGTTGGATATAAGCCAGAAACTGTTGGAGCCTCCACAGGGAGAGAACCTCCCTATAAGTCAACCCACAGGGAAGCAGAGCCAAGAGATGGCAGAGGGATGGAAAGATAGAAACGGGGGTGAGGGAATCCTCAATCCGGCCATACCTGAGCTGTTTTACTCCTAGTTTTTTTTCAGAACTTGAGCAAACTAAGTATCTCTTTGCTCAAAATCACTTGCAACCAAGAGTCCTGTCAAATACTTGTCAGGCCTCCTGGAGAAAGTCATATTAGAATTGGTTGGACAAACAGCTCAACGTGGGGAAGGACTTCCTAGAGATCAGAAGCCAGAGTGCCACGTGAAATAGAGTTCAAGTTAGAGGGAGATAGGTAATGAGGAAGGGATTCCTGTGAGTGGGGGGATTCTATGGCCGACCAGGCCTTGCCCATGGCTAACTCTGTAGTCTCAGGATTTAATATAAGCCCACAGGTGTGAGGGAGTGGATTATGGGTACTGCACCAAGCTGGAGGGTAGGCCACATGATGTGAATGTGGAAGCCACAAAGCCTGAACACAACTGAACTGGCACCTGAGGGGAGCCAACCAAGATGCTGGGCAAGGAGGCAATGCCATGAGAAGCCAGTCCTGGAATAGTGTGCAGGCCAGAAAGGAAGGGAAGGCTCAGGAAAAGAGCAGTTGGCCAGGTGGCTAGTACTACAAGCCAGGTATGAGACAAAAGAACCAAACCTACAGGTAAAATGGAAAGGATGGGGAAGAAGAGATGTCAGAGTCCTGGCTCTAAAACCAAGCGCAACTGTGTTCTGGCCTCATTTACTAGCGATGCCATGCTGGGTCCAAGACTAAGTGCGAACCTCAATTTTCCCATGTATAAAACAGGTATAAGACCTAGAGGGTTGCTGGTGAGACTAGACATAATGGATGTTGGCGGCATGGGATGTGGTCTTGGCAGATCCAGGGCAGCCCGGCTGGTCCAGCTGGGCCCATTGTCTTCTGTCCACCGTGAGCCAAAAAGCATTCAGGACGCTGACTGATAGCAAGGCCCCACCACCAGAGGTGAGTCAGATCATAGTCCCTTCCTTCCTTTCAGAAGCTCACAGCTGATGGGGGAGGATGAGCAAGTCAGCTGACAATCTGAACTTGTTGGAAGAGCTAAAAACGAGGGTGCACACAGATGGAGAACCACCCAGATGGGGAACGAGGGCAGGCAGGGCTCTGTGACCTAAAAAACCCAGGGCAGCAGAGCACTGCACTCCCAGACGCTGCACTCTCCCAGCCCTAAGGAACGTCTCTCTGCATCCATCTTCAGCTCCTGCCCCCATCTTCAGCTCCTGCCCGCAGCACCCAGCACAGAGCAAGCAGAATATGGAGGCTGCTCCACCTGCAGCGAGGGTGGCGGCAGGAAACAGAAGCTCTCTGCAACCTGATGCCAGTAAGAGAGAAACATAAGAAGGGACAGGGAGCTAAGCAACTGCCCAGGCCCAACGCCCATGCCAGCCCTGGTGTGGAAGCCAGGGCTCCATGTGAGCCGCAGCAGGCTCTGTGGGTGCTGGCGTAAGGGAGGGTGTCCTGAGTTACTGCAAGATGGACCAACTGCCTTTGACAAGGAGTGAGCCATCGCCAGAGGCTGTGAGGCTCTTCACTGGGCTTGGGGCTGGGTTTTACCTTCTCCCCGGGCCTTGTTTCTCACAGGTCAAAGCGTCTTGCTGCTACAAAATAAACTCTCACCTGGACTCTGAGGTCTCTTCCCAGCTTAGCTTCAAAATGCCTTTTTTCCTCCTCCCGCCATGATGCACACCAATCCTTCCCCTGACACGCCTCCCCCGACTCCTCCCCCTACTTTCCCACCTGCAGACCCCGCTCCATCTCCTGAACCCTCTCCTCTGAGATGCCTGGGCCTGGTGAGAGTTACCCAGAGTGCGCACCTTCCTCTCGCGCAGGATTCCTACATCCCGGCTGAGTCCCCCTGCACTCGGGGCACTCCCCGAACACCGGAGCAATGTTGTGTTCCCCCGGTGCCTAGGCTTATTCTGCTCCCCCTCAGCACTCCAGCACATTTTTGTTTCATTCCAACCCGCCTCCAACGCCGGCTCCTCGATGGAATCCTGGCCCCCATCACGTCGGCGCCTGGCGGACCGCTACCCACGCACACGCCGGCTCTCCAGCGCTCCGAGGCTCCTGCTCCGGCCGCGCCCCGGCTCTCACCTGCTTCTGGATGTCCCGCACGCGCTGCTCGTGCAGGCGCGGCGCGCTGCTGAGCTTGAACACCACCCAGGCGCGCACGGAGTAGTAGATGTCGAAGATAAGCGAGAGCGGCAGGAGGAAGAGGCACACGAACACCCAGCGCTGGTGGATGAGCACGAACTCCAGCCCCTTCACGCGCACCCAGAGCAGGAAGAGCAGCGCGCACACGGCCAG